ACGACTAAATTTTCTGAATTAAAGTGATAATATTAATATTCTATTATCATTTTCATAATTGCATTACGCTCAATAAGATATTAACACATCCATTCTCCTATTTGAACGACATTAAGGAATAATTAGAAAAAAAATGGATATCCACCATTTTGAATCACCATTTTGACTTATAAATTACAGCTGCACCATCATTCAGTTGTAGAATAGTGAGATGCAAAGGAAAAAATACCAATCTGCAGTGTATGGATATTTGCAAATGTAAAATCCTGAACAAAGTAGAATATAGAAACAATAGACAAATAAATCAGAGAAAATTCGAATTAAGTGTAGAAACGACTAAATTTTCTGAATTAAAGTAATAATGTTAGCATTCTTTTATCATTTTATAGTTGCATTACACTCAGTGAGATATTCATACATTCTTTCTCCTGTTTGAAAGACATTAAGAGAAAATTAGAAAAATTGGATGTCCGCCATTTTGAATCGCCATTCTGACCTTTTTAACGCCATTTTCATGAAGGCCAGCATATTTTTTCGGATTCAGCAATCTCGAAATAGGTTAAAAAACTATGCTGGACCAAATAATAATTATTTGCCGTTAAAACTTATTTCTAGCCTTCTTTTAAAAAATCAGGACCAGACTACTAGAACGGTTGATTTTTTAGCATAGGGTTTTATTTGTCACCTATGCATTATATACATGTAGGCCTAGCGGTGACTACATGATGATATAAACTTACTCTTTCATTTAACCTGTCCCATGGCTACCTATGCATACTATAACTAGAAAAAAAATATCCTCTTAAAAAAGAACTTCTCTTAAACCGCTGCACAGAATTTGGTCAAACTTTGCAGATATTTAGTACACAGTGTGTAGATGTGCATATTACCAGCAAATTCTGATTCCATTATTTTTCTGGAAATTTCGGCACTTTTCAACTTAAATTTTTGCCCTATTGTGAATATAGAGATGAACAGTTTGTTAATTAGTGCAACTCCTCTTAAACCGCTGCACAGAATTTGGTTAAACTTTGCAGATATTTAGTACACAGTGTGAAGATGAGCGTATTACCAGGAAATTCTGATTCCTTTATTTTTGCCTTAAGAGTTTTGCCTATTATTGAAGAAACTTTCCAGCTAGGTAATAAGGAAATCCACTGGAATCAGCTCTTGCAATGAAATTTTGTGAAATATTTTATGACCTTAAAAGACCCCTATTGATTTTGAGATCAAAATATTATTGATTTATCACACACACACACACTCACACACACTCACACACACAAAATCTTGGATAGTTCTCACCCCCCCCCCCCCCCCCCCTTCAAATTAGTGCTTTGCCTTAAATAATTTCTTAAGTACAGTATATAAACAAATTCATATGACTACATCATAATTTTTTTTCCATCAATTATTTAAATGTGTAAATTGTCATGTGTTGGACTTACACTCATTAACAAATCGAAATCACTGAGGAATTTAAATAACAGTTTGTCAGCATAACTCCTGCACTGAATTTCCTGAAACTTTGTAGGTATTTCAGACATAATGTATAGATTTGTATATTACCAAGAAATTTTGATTCCATTATTTATCTAGAAACTTCAGCCCAATTAAATTTGTAACATACAAAGATTTGAATGTCCTATGCAAGAAGTTCTGATGTGATGATTTTTTGCAAGTAATGCCCTTTTTTGAATTATACTGTGTATTTAAAATGCACTGTGCCATTCATTACGTGTTGCATTGTCGAGTTTTGGGGGAGCGTGGGGTATGTGAGGCTGCTCACTTTTTCTTTCATTTTTACCAGGTGGTAAGTCTCAGGTGAGGGGGGACTTAATTTTACAGGTGTTAATGCCTCGACGGCTAGCAGTCTACCTGTAGTCGTGTTTTCTGATAATCCCTATACATAGGAAATGACTTAATACACAGGAAAGACTCGTGCAGTTGTTGAACTTTACCTGCATTGGATTAATTTGTAATGTCATTGGGACAATTTTAAAATAATAGAAAATTATTGAAATGAATTACTCCTACTGTTTTGAATTTAAATGGTTTTTGTTTGTTTTAGATTCATTTTTTTCTTTTTTTTTGTTTTAATTAATTTTTTAAAAATTTTATTTATTTAAGATTTATTTTTGTAAAAGATATGAGATTTTCCCGTAAAGTATTATTAAATTAATTTGACGTGATTAGAGGATGCTAGCCATGATCATTATTGACCGATACAAGTCCCTGAGTATTGCTATGGATTTCAATTTCTGGCTGCATAGCGATCATCTTCCCACACCTTTGATGGCCATTTTCCACAACATTTTATAAAGCTTTATTTTGTTTGTTTTTTTTCCTAGACAGTGCATTCATGTAGGAATTTTCTGACTAGAAAGTTGTCTATTTGATTCGTCCTTGATGTCCTCGTGTTCAGGCGTACTAAATCAGACATTCTATCTCTGAATCATTTAACAGTTGTTACGGCCACTGATATGTTAATTTAAATCGTAATTTTGTCACCATGTCTCAAAAAATGATGCTTATAAATTGAATAAAATCTAAATTACAAATAATTTTAAAAATATTATTACCTAAGGATGATTCATTATAAAAAAATTTATTCTAAAACAAAATGATTTATGTACTACATGTACTTAATGAATGTTTTACCAAGCAAAAAATGTTTGTATCAATACAGTGTCTTTGTCGCACTGGGATATGCGGTAATCATCAAAAGACCTTGAGTTAATTTAACGATTGACACAAGCCCTAGACAAGGTATCTTGGGGATGTACAAGGTATACACTGTAGGAGTGAAACGGTTCTCCGCCGTATCAATTCACCGCGGTATTTTTTCTCAGTTTGATACACGGTCCAAAATCTCCTTTTTCGGTTCGGTTCATTTTTCGGCCGGAATCGTTATTCAGTCAGGTTTAGCATAGGTAAAGATACATTACTCGGCATAATTAAGTATTTAAAAAGTAAATTTGTGAGGATTGATAGTTTGTAAAATCATTCTAATCAATTTCTTATAGTCAATTTGCATGTAAATTAAGTGACTAGATTTGGTAAAAGAAACAAAAAACTACGTTGAATTTGTTTGTTTTTATCAAAATGTATTGTATTGAAAATAACTGTACTGAGACAAAATTATACGGTATGTATTGTACCGTGAAGGAGGCGTATCGTTTCACCCCTAATACACTGGGACTAGGAATTAAATGTCAATCAAATTCTAGCACCCAATTCTTGAGCTTAATTCGCTTGATTGACAGGGGTCCCTAGACCAGGTATATTTGGAGGAGATGCTTATTTTCTCTGCCTTTAAACCAAAATTCAAACTCTATATTGGTGAGAACTATTCAACTAGGCATAATATTTAGTTTCAAAGAAACTGTACAAGATAATTTCATTAAAAATTGAGCACTGATACATTTTAAATGGGGACTATTCAACTACATCAAAATTTCTGACCCTGACTTTCCATATGACCTTGACCTAACTATTAATTATTTTGCTTTAAGCACAGTTTAGGAAACTAAGATATTTTCATTAAACTTCATACAAAGAAACATATTGATAAGAGAAATTCTTCAGTATCATACTATTTTGACCTTGTTTTTCCCTATGACCTTGACGTCACTATTCCTCATTTTGCATTTATCTTAATTTCAAAGAAGATATTCATGATATTTTCATCAATCTTCATACAAAGATAAGAGCTATTCCGCTGTGTCAAATTTTCTGCCCTTGACTTCCCCTATGACCTTGACCTCACTACTATTATTTTTTGTTGCATTTAGCATAGTTTAGAAGAAACTGTTCTTAATTTTTTTTTCAAATTTTACATACTAATCCAAAATGATGAGAGCTATTCTAACTGTTGAGAGTTTTCCCTATAACATTAACTCAATCTGATTAAAATCAGATCTTTGTTACGCTCCGAAATTCTGATCGATGGTCGCTGTACAACGACCATCAGAATTTCGGAGTGTAACAAAGATCTGATTTTAATCAGATTGAACATTAACTTCACTTTTAATGATATTTAATCACACTTTATAATACAGAGTTGCATATTGGTTACAGTAGGTAAATTATGTCATAATTTTCTAACCTTGATCTTCTTTACTATTTTGATTTTTCCTTGATGTTAAACCCTCTTTTGAAGATTTCTTAATCAAACATACATGTTTACTAATTATTGAGGAAAACATTTCATTATTGTCTTAACTTGACCTTTCCAATGACCTTGACCCCACTTTTTCTTCATTTTGCAGTTAGCCAAGTTTCAAAAAAAGTGTTCAAGATATTTTCGTGGAACTTTGTATATATCAGTATACAAAGTTCAACAAAAATATCTTTAACAATTTGTGAGAGCAATCAAAATGTGTTCATAATTTTTTGTTGACCTATGACCTTGAATTTCACTTTTTCCTCCCCCCACCCCCCCCCCACCCCCTTTTTGCTCTTAATTTATCTTATTTAATTCTGTGCAGAATTACTTCAGAAAACTCCATACATCAATTAATCTCTGTAAGACCATTTTAAGATCCATATTTAGAGATCATATGTAAATTTGCTAAATTTGGGAGAATGAACATGAAACAATAATATTTCGTTTAGTTGCTAGATAATAGATGGGATGAATCAATCTCAGACCAAAGACAATACATTTCTTATTGTAAAGCAGTACAAATGTAGTTGGGGGGAATTCATGTCCTATGGATATATTTCTAGTTCTTTCTCAATTGGATGTAACATTCCAGTTCTAAAGTCATGGTTATTTTATGAATAAGAAATGTTTTAGAAACAGTAAGAACACTTTATAATACATGCATGAAAATCTTACATGTACAGTCACTGTGTATCTTGACATTTTATAACAAGAAATTCTCAATTTAATGAAAAAAAAAATTTCATGGCATTTAAAAATGCAAGCAACAGAAATGAGATCATGATGATGAGTCTTGTGATCTAATATTCAACTGTGATTATTTGATTTTCAGAACCTTAAATTCTGATTTCTTGAATCTGAGGTCAGTGGATGGAATGGAGCAATGGAGAAAGAAGGAATCCCAAAAGCTGACAGATCTTGTACAGAGGAGATTCCATTATCTTCAGGTTTTTATGTTTCCTGATTTAAGTTAAAATGAGATTCACATGCACACTTTCCTTTGTTAGTTTAAATATGTTAACTAAGAAGAGCATCTATACTATCATACCCCTCCTTCCTTGCAAACAAATTGCCATGTTTATAAGTCTGTCTGGTTGTAGACATTATTTTTCTGGAATTTTCTTTGTAGGATTAATATAAGCCATTTGAACTTGTGCACCATGTACTTTTATGCTCCCATATCAAAGATTTGGGGGTGTATAATTTTTTCCCTGTCCATCTGTCTGTCTGTCTGTCTGTCCGCAAAACCTTTAACATTGCCCATACCTTTTGATGATTGGAGCTTTGGCTTTCATATTTCACATGTGTATTCCTTGTGACAAGACCTTTCTTTGGGTTCCATCATATTTTACCTTTTCAAATTGACCTTGGAGTTTGACCCAGTTTTGCAAAATTTTACCTAACTTTAACCTTGGCTATATTTGTTTGTTTGTATGTTGTTTAACGTCCCTCTCGAGAATTTTTTCACTCATATGGAGATGCCACCACTTGCCAGTGGAGAGCTGCAAATTTTGTCCTTTGCTCGGCACTTATGGCCATTGGGTAGTGAGGGGTCTTTTTCGTGCCAACACCAACTGCGACATGGGACCTCGGTTTATATGGTCTCATCCGAAGGACCGGTCTCCACGTCCCACAGTGAGATTCGAACCTGCGACATAAGGATCAACTCCTTACCTCGCGACTCTAGAGCAGACGCTCTAACCACTGCGCCACGCGGGAGACTACCTTGGCTATAACTTTTGAACAGTTGGTGTTAGGGCTTTCATACTTCACTTGTTAATCCTTGTGACAAGACCTTCCTTTGGATACCAACAACTTTGACCCTTTGACCTTGACCTAAGAGTTTGACCTACTTTTGAAAAACTTTAACCTTGGCCATAACTTTTGAATGGTTGGTGCTAGGGCTTTCATACTTCACATATGTTATCCTTGTGACAAGAATCTTTTGGATACCAACAACTTTGACCCTTTGACCTTGACCTAGGAGTTTGACCTACTTTTGAAAAACTTTAACCTTGGCCATATCTTTTGAATGACTGGTGCTACAGCTTTCGTATTTCACATGTGTATTTCTTTTGAGAAGGCCTTTTCTTGGGCATCTAATTGTGACCATTTGACCTGGACCTTGATGTTTGACTTACTTTTGAAAAACTTTAACCTTTTCAATATCTATTGAATGGTTGCTGCTAGGGCTTTCATATTTCACAGGTATTTTCCTCAAGACAAGACCTTACTTTGGGTACCAACATATTTGATTTGCATTTGAGAAAGTTTAACCTTTGCTATAAGTTGCCATAAGGGGCATCAGTGTTTCACAAACACATCTTGTTTTCAGATTGATTTGTCAGAATTTAAGAAGATATGATTCTTTTTAGAGATTTAATTGTACATTTCTTCTTTGGTGGGAATAAGAGAAGTGAAATTCTTGTCTGCTCATACTTAAGAGGATAATGCTTTATGCTTAATACAAAGGTAGCTTGTGCCCAGAGTGTATCTTGACCCTATCTTGACCTTATACAAGGGCATTTTGGACAAGGTCAGGGTTACAGGTACAAAAATATTAAAAGGGCATAGACTCACTTGCGTTTGTTTACAGTTTTGATTTTCTCTACAAGTTCACCTGAGTCACTCAGGTGACATTTTGCTATCTGCTTTTGTCTGTTTTGTTCGTCATTCATTGTGGGTTAACATTTGAACATGTTCAGCTTCCTCTCTGGAAGCAATGAATCAATTTCAACCAATTTTGGCATATAGCATCTATGGGTGAAGGGGAAAATTTTAAATGTCATGGTCCCTGCCACCCTGGGGCCTGAAGGATGGGGCTAAAACCATAAGAATTAATGCTGGCAGCTCTGTAAATTGTAAAATTCATGATCCTAAGTGTCAGGGGTTCTGGAGTTAGGGTGGGGCTCTAATGGTCATATAGTGAAAATGCATAAATGCTTTAAAAGTCTTCTTATCTACCCCTGTATATTGAGCAGATAAACTAGGTGCATGGTTATGGTGATCAAGGGTGTCTCTTCCAAAATTGTGTATTTCATGGCCCCTGGGTCATGGGTTCTTGTGTAAGAACAATGCTGTATTATTTTGTGAAAATGCATTAATTCCTTGAAAATCTTCTCCTCTGCATGGTTGTGATGGGCAAGGATGGCTCTTCCAAAATTGTGAGATTTGAGGCCTCAGGGTCATGTGTGTGTGTGTGGAGGGGGACCTCTTTTGTTTATATTGAAAATGCATTATTTCTTTGAAAATCTTCTGCTTTGCTTCTTGGTATTTAGCAAACGAATTAATTGCATATAAATGATGAACAAGGATACCTCTTTTAAAATTGTGAATTTCATGGCCTCTGAATTAAGGGTTCTAGTGTTTGCTCTAGTGATTATTGAAGGGTTTTTACCAGGATTTTGCTAATTTGAATCCCAGGACTCAAGGTTTTTGAGAAGGTTGAGTCTAGAGCTAAAACAAATTTTGGAATATTTGCAAATGAATAGTAATTAAATGGCAAATATTCAAATGGATATTTAGTATTCGAATATCTTATACTTAAATGTTTTCTTTGTCGATAAAATTATATTGGTACTTTATCGATTAAAACTTATAGTATTAATAAAGATTTAGGCTAAGTGCTACTTTATCCTATCAGTGCTCCTACTGAACTGTTGACTCTTTCACGGCATTTAATTACTGTTAGAGAGTACCAGAAATATGATCAGAGATTTAAACAAAAATCAAAATAATTTCTCTCTGTGTAAATCTCTTTGAACATATGCTCAGGATATTTCATTTTCAAATGGAGTTTTATTCACCCCTACCAGTTTCATCACTGATTGTATGCAATGCCCCACCATTCTATAATGGGTTAATTCACTAATTATAAATCATGCAAATGACTACTGTTTGTATGTTTTCTTTTAAAAAGAAATAATCCTAAAATCTAATTATATTTACTAAATTTTTGAAACAAGTCATGTATATTTAGAAAATGATCTCTGAAACGAGTGTCATTTTAGTAGCATGTTCAGTAAATTAATGTGTAAAGTGAATCCCCCTATAATGCAAGCTGACTTTCCCTTTTCTGCAGCATGTGGCATTCTTACTATCAAACTGTTATGACTTTTCTGTATTTTCCATAGATAGAATTTTATAAATTGTAGCATGTTAGAGAGTTTCTATTTTAGTATGGAAATATACTCATTTTTCCACCAGCTTTTGGGCAAATTTTTAATCTTGCATCATAAAAAGGTCTATCTGTTCAATAGGCTAGGGCAAGATCTGTGCCTCCGGAAAAAAAATATCACCTTTATTTCTGAAAAAAAAATTCTTTCAGCTTGTTTCTCAAAAATGTTTTTCTTGCAGAAAGATTTAAATCCATTATTGGTTATACTGTGACATGGGTTTTATTTTAACGATCATGTCAATATTATATTGTAAATACATTAATTCTTTGAAAATCTTTCTCTCTGCTCCTATATTATATTGTAAATACATTAATTCTTTGAAAATCTTTCTTTCTGCTCCTTGGTATTGTGTTATTAAAGTTGTTTAATGATTATTAATTTACATCGTATTCTCCTGTCTTCGCTTGCTCTTTGTTTGTTTATGTTTGCCACAATGGGATCTTCCACTGGAAGAGTCCATTTGTTAAATTAAAGATGGGTTCTGCCCGGAAGGCGATTCTATGATCTATCCAATCAAATTGAGGGGCTCTATCTCCTGGGTTTAGCGCCCCCTATCGGTGGTTAGCTAGCGCCACCTATTTACGTCATTATTATCCAATCATTTTGCTTGTTCTCTTATTTTCAAATTCGGCATCTGTGCCATCCAATCAAATTATGTTAATCTCCTATTTCAACCCATCTTTTGGCCAGTTAGCATCACTTTCTTAGAAAATCCTCCAATTAAGGCGGAATCCACGTCGTTTTATTCCATAATTTAATTTGTGTGTGTGTGTACGTGTGTGTGATGTTATGGTACTTATGTTATAATGTCTAGTGTAGCAATATTAGTTTAGACTCTACCATGATTTCTCAAGATTGTCGGAAAATTACCCATGATTGCTTGGATGATACTTTTATGTTTACCTTGTAACATTGCATAATAAATCATGGTTTTGCCCAAACTGTGTCTTATCTGCTTACAAGAGGAAATTAATAAGCAGATAAACTAAGTGCATAGTAATGATTAGCAGGTTGCCTCTTCCAAAATTGTGAATTTCATGGCCCCTGGGTGAGGGATTCTGGTGTTTGGGTGGGGCTTTATTGATCTTATAGTGAAAATGCATTATTTCTTTGAAAATTTTCTATGCTCCTTGGCATCTGGGGGACAAACAGAGTACAATGTAATAAACAAGGATATTTTTTACCATATATATGAAATTCTGGACAACTAAGTCAAGTGTTCTGGGGTGGGGTAGGTCTCTATTAATTTGTATTATCCTCAGAGAATTAAGTTATTCCCTTTTGCTATTCACCTATGATAATTAGTCACTGTAAATAATGTAATTGAAAGGTCAATTGAATAAGAAAATTATGCAAAAAAATTTATAATATAAAATATAAAAAATTCTTTCACAGTTTTTAATGGTCAGATAGATTGAAAATAATAGAGAAATAATAATGAGACCTATCTTTGTATATTAAATGTTCTTCAAAGACTGAGAGAGGCCAATATAAGGGAATGAGAAGGGTTAAATAATAGTGCTGATCCCTGATCATCCTACTTGTCTTGCCTTTGAGCAACATAGCTTCATTTATCAGTTTATTTTGTTTTATTTTGTACTTATGGATCCTTAATTAAAGCTAAACACGATTTGTAAAAGGAATGTGTCCGCCATATTCAATTGGTCTCTCCTTATATCTGAGGGCCCCTGTATAAAGCCGCTCACTTAGTCACTGTTCAGTGTAATCAATCGTCATCAGTATGGACGGATCTATGCTTATACAGCACT